GGTCGTCATTTCCAAACACGTTTTTTAGCCATTTACCTCGATTTGCATATTGAATACGTTAATTTTGTACAATCGAAGGAAAAATTGAAACTCAATTTAATACTATCAGTGAGAAAAATAAATGACTGGATCTATTGAGAAAGGATACTAAATTATCGTGTCTTACCATACCAGTATTATTCTTAAAGTATTAAGAAGTGTTGGCATTTGCTGGACACTCAGTGGACTTTTTTGGGCAAATAATTCTTCATTTAATATCAAATAACTCACATATAACAGTCGCATGTAATAGATTTTTTCAAAATCATTATTGTACTTTATAGCATTTTACTATTTATTCTGACTGTAGAAAATAGAAAAGTTAGATATATATTGTTCTATAATGTGATAGATAAAAAAATATCTTTCTTATGCTTCTTTAATAAATATCCAATCAAATTTAAGCTTATTGCTACATCATGAATTGATTACGATTATCAACTGGTTTTGGGTGGTAACACTACACAGAATTAATTCAAAAGAATGATAAAATAGTATAATTTAATGAGGTTCCGTGGTATCTATGCAAAAATTTATAATGTTAATTTTTTCAATTGTCCAATTGAGTTAATAAGCAGTTGTATGAGTTGAATTTAGAGTTATCTCGGTATGATTATTTTAGTACACTATGACATGCTGATAACTTTTTTAATTTTTTGGCAGCTTCATATATATCGCTGGTTTATTTCTCGTAAAAACTAATTCTTGATTTTTCTGATTAACACTATTATAATGCATTTTTAACATATGTCGACTTAGCTTCATAATAAATGCTTTGCTATTCCAGTACCGTGCGTAGCTTTTCAGTAAAATTAGCAAAGAAAATGACTTTAAAATAAAAAGTGTCAACAACATCATCTAAATACTTTAATTGTAAAATATTTATATTTAATAATATCAGAGCCGAAGTGAAGTATTGTTAGGTAAAATTCAGGTTCATTTCAAATTTCTAGCATTGTGTGATGGTGCTCCTATTCGTATCATGGTTTCGAAATTATCATCAATCTTGTAAATATGTCATAAACAGCGTGGAAAATGGAAGAGAAATAAAATATACGAGATAAGATATAAGGTATATCATTGATAAACAGTACATAGAAGATTCTACTAAAAATTAACAAATTTAGCACGAGACAACGACGTGGATTTGGATTTTCGTCAGGAAATCAAAATGCAATTTGTAAGATATTAATATTAACGATTATAATATAAGTATGGTTGTTAATGAGAAATGTTTTGTATATTCACGATGTACTTCCTTCATCTAACCTCTCTGTGTACTCTCATGCGTCTTAGTTCAACGACATCTATATAAAAGTACAGGAAAGTGTTGTACTTCTCAATGTTATTTTGTTTCTTGAAGATATTCTATGTATATGCACACTGAAACCCTAAGATGTAATGATATTAATTGATGATCCATATAGTGTTCTTCCTTCGAATTTTTGACAGATGTGATCGATAAAATAGTGAATTTTTGTAAATGTTCTGGGTTTTAGAATAAGTTTGTCTTCAGAAAGTTTCTCATAATTGACTGGATCTTACATAAATGTTCGTTAATAAAAAATTCAAACTCTTTATCGCACAATAAACTTGTTGAACATGAAATCTAAAGAGAAGTAGAGGGCTGGGTACCATTTTCCTATACTTATTCTTCGTTAATTAATAAATCTGAGCAGGAACTTGAAGAAATTCTGCAAGGATCCTGTTTCACTTTCTAACTTTACCTAATCATCTTACATAAAAAAATGATAAGTCATCTCTACGAATATCATTCGGCAGAAACTGTCAGTGAGTATTAAAGAATAGTATGTCCTGAAGAAATAGAATGCACTATTTCTTTACAAACGTCAATTTAAATTCTACTGAATAGTTGAGAATAACCATTTCCATTCACTTCATATTTGATTTTTCAAGCTTTTCAAAAGAAGAACAACTATTAGATGAACTATGATGACATATCACAGAAAACTAGAGCATTCTCGAACGTTTACCAGACAATGACAAAAAAAACGTTTGAATAAAAATAATTTTCTCTTATTGAAAACAATTGACCGTCAATAAGTCGTTTTTTTTCTTCCTAAATGAACGGCAACTTTCAGTCGTCAACCAATATCTATATAAGTGCTGTGTTGTAAGAGCATTAGTGTATCGATATTAAAAATAAGTGTATGATGAAAAATTTCAAAAATTCAACAGTAGAAGAAAGTGAAGTAGAAGTAAGTGTTATTTCCATTTTTCAGTTATTTTTCACTTTCAAGAAAAATATCATTTTTCTTCTGGGAACGTAATATCAATTGATGTAATCCAATCAATAATTTTTCAATTATTTGATTTTAATTTTTAGCTGAATAGATGTCAACAGCTTTTTGAGTTTTATCTGATGAATATGTAACAGAAGATAGTGATACAGGTGTTGTTCATCAAGCTTCATTATTTTGGAGAAGATAATTATGGTGTTTTTCTTGTTAATGGTGTTAATTAATAAAGATATAGAACTTGTTTTTTTGTCCAATTGATACTCAATATTGATTTACTGATGAAATAAAAGATTTTCAAGGATAAAATGTTAAAGATACTGATAAAACTTTTATTAAATATTTAAAATAAGCTAAAAGACTTGTTTATCAATCATTGAAGAATCATTCGTATCAATTTTGTTGTAGAAGTGGTGCATCATTAGTTTATCGTGTTGTTCCATTTTGATTTTGTTCAAGTGGAATGAATGATTGACTGATAATTAACTAATAATAGTAAAACATATTGGTAATTAAAAAAGATATTCTTAGAAAAAGTTTTTCAAGATATTTCTATTTGCAGGGTACCTGATTTTTTTATTAAAGAAAAACGTTTTGAAAATTGACTTCGTGATACACATGATTGGACTATTTCACGACATCATTATGGGAATAATCCAATACCATTATGAATGAATGATGACGAACATGAAATTGTTTATGTTGGTTCAATCGAAGAATTAAAACAATTGTTCTGGTGTTTTTGTTGATTATATTTATCGAGAATTGTTAGATTTAATAAATCTTCGTTTTTTTTCTAAATAATAATTCTTAATTTTTGCTTAGTGTTGATAATATCACAAATCCATCACGATTAGGTAAAGATTTATTACGTCAAGTTTCTAAAATATTTTATTGTTGATTCGAATCTGGTTCCATGCCATATGCACAAGTACATTATCCATTTAAAAAATGTCGAACATTTCAAGATACATTTTCAGCTGATTTCATAGTTGAAGGTATTGATCAAAGACGTAGATGGTTTTTTATACATTATTAGTTATTTTATGGCTTTATTTGATCAATCATCATTTAGAAATTTAACTGTTGATGGAATTGTTTTAACAAGTAATGAAGAAAAAATGTTAAAAAGAAAGAAAAAAAACTATTCTGACCCAAAAGAAATCTTTGAAAATTATGGAACTAATGCATTACGATAGATAAATTACAGTTATAGAAAAAATAAATAATATGTTTTTTTGTTTTTTATTTGTAGACTTTATTTAATCACATGAACTGTTGTTCGAGATAAATCGTTTAAATTTAAAGAAGAAGGTCTTTCCCAAGCAGACAAAAATTTGGAAAAACGCGTTTAAACGCACAATCAGGAATCACGACTGTGATCCATTCACGCTCATTAAAAAAAACGCACGAAACGACGTTTATCATGCAAAATAGTCACTTTTGGAACGTGAAAACGTTGAAAAACTGAGCGTTTAAACGCGTTTTTCAAAATTTTTGCCTGCTTAGGTTGTAATAGTCTTTAAAAATGTATTTTTACCTTAGTACAATGTATAACATCTTCTTATTCAATCATATGATCAATTAAAAATTGATAAAAAGATTCATTTTATTTATGATGCTAAATGTTTAGATTTTGTTAAACAAGAAATGGATGGTAAGATTTATCTTAGTTTTTACAACAAATCCTTTCAAAATAATCCTCTAATTTAATATGTTAATGTAGAAAACTTCATTTATAATTCGAATTAAATAAAACTAACAATTGATTATGTGTTGTAATAAGTTGAAAATAGACAGTCAGTAATGTCACAATAATAAGTAATATATAAAAACAAAAAAGAAATATTTTAAAGATTTTTGTATTTTTTATTTATATTTCTCTGTATATATAGCACTGTTGATACTTGATGAGGATTAAATCGTTCTCCATAAATAAATAAATTTTTCTTGACATGACAAAACCGATTTTATAATAAAGATAAACTTTTGTTTAAATTTTAGCTTATCATTTATATCGGATGGTATCTCGTTTTATTAAATACATTGATATGTTAACTAATTGGTATGTTACATTAAATAAAAAACGTTTTTAAGTAATACTATTTCTTTTTTTTGTTTTGCCTTTATAGCCATGCAATTAATTTCGAATTCTAATGAACCATAAAATATTATTTTTTCTCAAGGCTACATAAATCTTCATCTTCTTTATTCCAAAAATAAATAAAGATGAAACAACATTGGAAGATTGTGTTATTTCATTGAATGTTCTTTGTTATATTCTTTTAACAATAGCTAAATTAATGAAACAATTTACAATATTTCTTGCTGAATATATGTATCAAGTATTAGGAAAATTAATATCTCAATCATCATCTTCTTCTGCACAAGATTTAAGTTTTTATTTTCAAATGATTCCAAAATCATAGTTAGTTCATTTTTTGTTTTCTTTAATTTTCAAAAAAAGAAAAAGAAAATTTTTATTTAGAAAATTATTAATAAGTAAATATAAATATTAAACGTACTATATCTGCTATACAAACAACTATTGATTTGAGTAGAATTGTACGAGAATACAAAGTTGTTCCTATTAAAGTAAATCTCTGTTAATTATTTATTCTGATTTGTTGAAACGAGATTTGATTTTGATATCCATTACCAGAATTTGTTATTATTCATAAAGATTCATCAATTTAAAAAGATATGCAATCATTAGAAGATTTTTTTCGAGAAGTATGTTCTTATCTATTAGAATATTTATGTTCATTTTTGTTTCTTAGGATTTCAATGTACGAAAAGTAATAGTATCACAAGAATGTGAACTTTATCATATATGAAATGTGTGCTGAATCAAATTATCCAATATTAGGAAAAAAAAGCTGATGGTATGTATTTGTTGATCAATATTTATTTGATTGTAAATATAAAATGCTTAGCTAAAGTCAAATCGACTACTGAAAAACTTCGTGCTATGTCTGGTACAGATATTGAAAAATTATTATCAAAAATTAAAGATAACAATCCAATTAACAACTATTAATGATGCACCATTTGAATCAGAAGATTTTTATATTGTTTATTGTGTCGCACAACAAACACGATTTGAAGCTACTGCTGAGCAAGGAGTATGACACCATTTTTCCTGTTAGAAATTTTTCTAAACTTTTTTCTTTTAATAAATAGTTTGTTGTTTTACTTGATTGTATAGCTGATTTACATCGATGAAAGATGAAGATCGTTATTCATGAAATTACAAGTCGAGCTGAAAAACATCGAAGCGAGCCTTGTGCAATATGTATATAAATAATAATTATTTTTTGTTTTATTAGGCTAAATTAAATCCAACTGATGATATTATATAGTTTATTATTCAGTAGAACCGAAAACAAGTGAAATTGCTCACATTGGAACGAAACAATTATCAAAAAACCATTTGCTTCGTTAAACAATTTAACAAATAAAGATAATAGTAATGTTATTATTACTAAGAAACTCTTCCTATAAGTTTTGCTTTTTGTTTTTTAATTGAAATAAAGTATTTTTTTAATTTTTATCAGGTGATAAATGGGCAAATAGAATTTGTTATTGCTCGAAATTCATAATCAAAGTTGAATAAAAAGATGATTTTATTTGAATTTTTATAAACTATTTAAACATTTATTATATTGTTTTGTTTCGTGATTGATTTTGTGAACATTCAGAACCTCATTAAAGTTCTCAATAAAACAAAAAAAAAACATTCTTGTTATATTTCTTATACGAATTGCAGAACTTTTATCATCATAGCTTTAGAAATCTTTGTTTCTATCAATGAAATTGATACCAATTACATAGATAATCCCAATATATTTTCATACTAGAATATCATAGTCATGAACTATCAAAATTGTAAAGCACAATATTATTTTTCAAACCGAACAAGATTTTTAATAAATTATATTGTTGTAATACTTCATCAATTAACTACCTTTATATTTTAGTAAAGCACACGATCGATGCAAAATTCTTATTTATGAAGAACAAATATTATTATTCAAATAGATACCATCATAATTTATTACGTAATTATCATTAAGTAAAAACTAAGCATTTTTATTAGCAACTGATGATCAAAGAGGAAACTACGTTAACATATAAGATATTTTAGGACAACTGCAACTTATCTTTTGAATTTGTTTGTTTCTTTCTCGAACTACATGAATAAATTTTTCTTGTTGTAATCTGATGGTTAACGTGCTACTTCATTCAATTTTTTTCGCTGCTATTCATGTTAATGATAGTTAGTGACAAAAAGAAAAAATCACATAAAACACTAGATTTTTGAAAATATGAGATGAGTATCTATGTTGATTGTCTCGAAAATACGCTGATCATTCAGTTTAAGTTCATATTGTTCAAAATAAAGAATATCAAATATACAACAAACGGTTGAGAAAATTTTGGAAAATTTCACTAACAACTTTTGTCAGTAACGAGAATAATGTTAAGTTTGGAGGATGAAAGAAATTTTGAATAAATTAATGGTATCATTAATCAGGTTTTATTTTGAAAAAAGAACAAATTATATAATATTTTGGAATAGGAATCAAACTGATAAAAAACTATCAATTAATATTTTATAGGAATGTTAACTTATCATTATTGTTACTTTAAAATAAAGAATGAAACTGACTAAAATATATATTTTAAGAAAACAGCTACTATTGTTGAAAATAAATTTTTAATTTTGAAAAAGAAGAATAATTTATTTATCCTTTTCTGAGGATGAAGGCACCTTATTTATTTATCTCTACTTTTTAATAATGAATTTTTATTTATTTCTGTTTAATAAAATAAGAGTAGGTCAACAATCACGAATAGCAAACAGCTGATATCATTATCATTTTTAATTTATTAAGAGTCTTTTAAATAACATGTTATGCGAAAAAGTGAATATAAAAGTCTGAACAATTGACTGTAATCTAATGCACCCTTTTCATTTATTTTCTACGAAGAGGATTGAATACATTGTATGCAATGTGGATTTTGTATGAGTGTCAGTACTTATACCCTTTCATTTACTTAAGTCAACTGTTATTTGAAATTAAAAATAGGGCGTTAAGAACAGTATGAAAAAAAAGCGGATATAGTTATAACAGTATGACCATCGAGAAAATTTGACAAAATTTCTGTAGAAAAAAAACAGTTATAATGCACATATAAACTGAACTTAATTAGATAAATGTCGCATATTCAAAATTGGTTTTTCTTTCTAAACATAAAAATCAAGTTTTATATAACGAAAAAATTGATTTTGTAAAACGAGTCACTGTTGTATATCAAGTCATATCTTGCACTTATCTAGCACTTTACTCAAAGTTTGTTTATAGCTAGAAGCTTTTATATGTATATCTCCATCCAGTCAGTCTAGGATCCAGTGAATCGAGTCTCAATGAATGTTACTTGTTCATTTCTATCTACGAAAAGAATTGAATGCATTTTATGCAATGTCAATTTTGTGTATATACATGAAAGTGTGTATAGTTTATCTCAAATCTGCCGAAATATGTTTGGATCACAGTGTCATCTACATTCTAGTAATATTATACTTCAAAAACAACGATTGAGAATGACGTACATTTTCATCAATGACATTTCCTCTGAAGAATATGTTTTCAAGGACGAAATATCGAGGATGTTCTAGCATATATTCATATAAACTTTGTAAGTGAATATATAGTCGTGCGCAAATAATCCTAACGTATGCAATGAATTTTTCGATGATAGATGATGACATAGATGAAGTTTTCTTTTTCATATATTGGCATGATAGACATAATTGTATGATCTTGCATCGATAAAATCAACATCTAATAATTCATATTGATTATACATCTATGATTTTGTTTGTATGTATAACCGAAAAACAAAATTAATCGTTCATAGAGTTTATTCATTATTTTTTTCTTTCTGTTATACTGCATAGTTTTATCGAGAACATACTAAAATCTCATTGAAGCTTCTTTTCAAAATTCGAATCTAAAAGTAAATAAAAGATTGATTATAAAAATGAAGACAATTCATTTTTTGTATCAACTGAGTTTATTTTTTTAAAATAAATAATAAAAATGGTTCCTGCAAATGATGATTGGCTTCCATTTTGAAACAATTGTCCATAACTTTAGATCGCTACAAAAATTCAAAAGTAATATTGTTAATTAAATTAAATATAATTAATTGTAAAAATTACATTAATAACAAGAACTTTTATCTATTGGAAACAGTTGAATACGATGATTGTTGCCATCAGCTACATATAAGTTTCCTTGTCGATCAAACGCTATATCACGTGGAAAATTTAATTTATCTGCTCCAAGACCATAACCATCTCCACCAATAATGATACTGCTCGATTTTTCACCTTCAAACCAACGTGTTACTCGTAAATTGATGTATTCAAGAACATAAGCCGTATTCATTTGATCGACAACAACAGCATAGGGTCTATACAATTGATCAACACCGTTACCATAACCATTGAAACCAGCAATAACAGTTCCTTGATTTGCACCTACTGCCCATTTGACAATACGATTATTGCCTTTATCAGTAATAAAAATCGATCCATCCTGATGGACAAATATGTGATACGGATGTACCAGTTGATTCAAGGCATTACCTTTTCCATTGCCACCTGCAACAATTCGATTTTGAGGCCATTGAATAACTTGGTGTCCTTCCATATCGGATACATACAAAGATCCTTCCATATCCAAAGCTAATCCCCAACAAGTTATATTCTTCATTATTGTTTCTCCTTGGTTAGCATTCTTAGACCAACGTTGTACACGATTGTTAATACGATCACAAATAAACATAGTTCCATGTTTACCAACAACAACCTTTGACGGTGTGTAGAGTTGATTACTATTATTACCAGGTTTGTTACCACCGGCAACTAATTCACCATTTGAAGCTCCGGGCATATATTTGATGACACGATGATTATCTCTATCTGCAATGAAGATAGCACCATCATCATCAACAAATACTCCTTCAGGATACGCAAGTTGATTCAATGAAGATCCTTGTCCCTTTCCGCCAGCAACAGTAATACCATTACGATTCCATGTTGCACTCCTGCAAATTCCATCAGTTGACGCAGCAAATGTAGATGATGATATGGAAAATACTAAATAAAAAGAAAAACGATATATATCATATTGTTTGAATTTTGCGAATTTTTTCATTAAATATAAATCATATGATATAAAGGACAAGTGCCAGAACAATACGTACTTGAGAAGCTAAAAAAAATTATCATTAGATTATATTCTTATTTGAACGAATAGAATATGCTACATACTATACAATTACCAAAACGAGGATATGTATTATTTGCATAGTGCTTGGTTTTTAATTGAATACTGATTACAAACTGCATATGCATTGCCTCTATATATAGACGCCTACTGATTATCAATTCAATAAGACCAAAACAAAAAAAAAACATTAGTTAAATTCGATATATAGCCAGGTGTTTGCTTCACATTGATACAAATCACAATAATACAATATCAAAGTCCTACTAAACCGTTTCTCTTATCATTTTGATAACCGAATTTAACATGACCTTGGGACTGAGAATCAGCTACATGTTATTTAATGGAAACCGATGATATATAATACTATAGAACGAATTTGTTTTTTTTTTCTTTTCATATTAATCATAGAGTTGATCACTCAATCAAGAGATGGTCGAAGATGTTCATATGAATCATTGAGAACGAGCACATGTTGACAGATGTTCGATGGTTTCTCTAACGAACTGTTAGAAAATTTTCCAAACAAACTCGACAAAAGATATGAACAACAATGAGTACTATCAATTATTAATCGCATACAGAGGTTTTATAAATCAATCAAATAGATTCACTTTTTATTGTTTTTGTCTAGAGTTTCAAGCATTTCATTGACATTTTTGCTTTCGAATCTACGAATGTAGGAACGTACTTTGTTAAGTACATAAGAAAAAATTGAATATCAATTTACTCTTAAAATAACCTGAATTATAAGGGCATTCTTGCTCTCTCATGTCGCCTCTTTTTTAATAACTGCATTGCAGCTATGCGCAGAGCCGATTCTGCGTCGCAGCTACGTGTAGCTGCGAAATTTTCATCGTAACTGCGCGTAACTGCGGTACATCGACCATAATCAAATCTCTATCACAAACTGCGACTACTGCG